ATTGGGTGCTGGAAGTAGTTACTTAATGAAGAGTTTTATATTGTTTGTTATCACATATTTGTTGAAGTTCTTCTTGAATTTCTTGATCAAAGGAGGATGACCATGTATTTGATTGAAGTGGTTGAGTGAGTGTAATAGAGGGTTTGGAGAGTTGGTTGAGATCGATGACATTTTTGAAGTTTATAAATTGTGATTGATCTGTAAATTTGATTTTACTAATGTCTATGAAGTTTGGAGTAGCAATAGAATTGTTGGGAGAGCCGAGAATAAGATGTGTTTGGTTGTGTACTATTGGTAGAGGGAGAATTCAAGTTAGATAGTTTTATTGGTTCATTAACTATTTTGCTAATTTCTATAGAGTTTCCAATTTGGATTAGATCTGAAGTGATAGATGAGGGGTTTGCATATGCATGCATTGTGGCTGTTTGATCAACATTTTTTTTTGGGAGACAGGAGAAGTATTAGACAGAAGATCTTTTTCAGGGGTAAGCTGGTTGGGGTTTTTTGTTGTTTCTTGGGAGAGAGAGAGAAATTCTTGTAGACGATTGTAGAGTTCTATGTTGAGTTGAATTTTTTCCATTTTTTTCACAATATTACTAATATATTGAAAATTGAGTGAGATATTTCTTTGGTTAGATAGTGTAATATGGGTTTGAAGAAGTTTTTTTGGGTCTCTTTTTTTAATTATTTCTGTTGTGAAGTTAATAATGCAAATATTATTGGTGGAGCCTGTTTTGACAATTTCTTTTATGTTTTTTTTCTCTTTAATAATGAGGAATTGGTTGGGAAAGTTAGAAAGATTAGTGATAAAGAGAGTTCTTGCAGGTTCTGTTCAAATGATTTTGTTTATTCATTTCAATCTTTAATAAAATTATTAATACATTTTGGTATACTATCAATTAATTTATTATAATAATTAATACTAATGCTATTATATGCTATTTTTAAAGTTTTTTCACAAATCTTTTTTGTTAAAAACTGAATTAAATAACTTTCATAAGTGTCTACTAACTTTGTTTCATAAATTGTTTATAGGATTTAAATTAGGGAATAGAGATTACCAATCTAATAAAGTAATAAAATTTTCATGAAACTAATTTTTAGTTAATTTTGTAGTATGTTTTGGATCACTATCTTGCTGAAAAATAATTTTATCTTTGTTAAAATTAAATTGTAAAAATATATTTAATAATCCAAAACTTAAAATTTTTTTATAAAGATTATTATCCATAATTTTTTCAACATTAATTAAGTAACTAATATTCTTAGTTGTAAAACATTTCCAAATTATAATTTTTTTATCACCATTGACTTAACATGTTGATCTAATAATAATTCACTGGATTTTTTCCAGCAATATTCTTATCCATTAGATGAAAATAGAAGAAGTCTACTTTTGTCTGACCAAATAATCTTTTGCCAATTATTTTTAGTTAATTTTTATATTTTTTAGTTTATACCAATTGTTTTTTTATGAGATTTTTGTAGTAATTGTTTTTTTCTTTTAACTTGTGCAATTAAATCATTTTTTTGTAATACACATTGTATACTATCAGCTGAAATAATAAATTTATAATCAGCTTGTAATCTTGATCATATCTCAATTGCTGTAACATATTTATCAGAACAAATATAGTATAATATAATTCTTTTATAATAATATGTTATAATTCTTGGATGATTAGATTTTGATTAATTGGTATGATTTTAGTTTTTTTAAACTTTTGAATTATTTTTACAATAGATAAGTGATTAACATTTTCTTGTGTCACTATTTCTCATATTAAAAATCCTACCTTAGCAAGTGTAATAATTTGCAATTGCTTTTCTAAGAATATACGAGGCATATAAATGTATAGTATTATAATTAGAAATGGGCAGTATGCATAATATACATTATGTGCACATCAAATTTTGTATAATAGAAATATAATCAGATCGATATGTATAATCTTTTTTTAATATGAATAATATGTTCTTTCAGCAAAATTTGGAATTATTTTACCAAGCTTGGATGGATTGAAGATTTTAAACAAGCACATGCAAAATGTAATATTGTAAACATAAATGCAACGAATCAGTTATTAGATGTGAAAAACACTTCAAAGTATGTAGCAAAGTAGATTTATCTATTAAACAACAATACTTTCATTCAACATCGCAACAAGAAATAAGTAATTCTACAAATAGTCAAATGAATCTTTTAAATATAAAAGATTGTATGGATAGAATTTCTTAAGCAGAACAAAACAATATTGAACTTTTATTTGCATAAGCTGTTTTTCAATATGGATTGTCTTTATCTTTACCGGATTTAAAGTCAATTAATGATTTATTTAAGAAAATTCGACTGTCATTTAAATTACCAAGCCAAAAATGATTATCAACTACTCTATTAGAACATGCATATACGAATATTAAAAATAAAATTAATAAAATGATTTTCAGTTTTTGTACAATTATTAATTGCGTAGTCTTTTATTCGAAAATAAGAAAAAAAATGCATCACTTTTGTGATAGAACCGTGATTATTATGATCCATACAATTGGTTTTTTATTATTTAACAGCCACCAGATTATTTCTTTGTCTATACTAAACTGATTTAAGCTACTTGCATCACTGTGCAATGTTTGAACGACGAAAAAATCAAACAAAAATTTTTCGGCGGGTGATGATTTTTTTTTTGCTAGCTAGTGTAGGAAATCAGATTTTTAACCTAACATTATAACACTACATTTAGAATGTTGGAGTATGCATTAATAATAATGCTTGATAAATATAGTATAGAGATTTTGACCTTTATTTTCAGGTAATGTATGTACTGTATGCACAGACGCATATATTGTGGATTTTTATGTGCATAAATGCTTTATTAATTCGATTGATTTCCTTTATTGGTCACTAAAAATTTTTCACACAAATCGTTTATCCTTCATTCAAATGTATTTCCGCTGCAATTGTCATGTTACCAAAAGTGGTTAGATTTATTTTGACTCGAAGAAAACCTGCTCTTGTTAAATATAAGTTAGTCCATTATTACGTACTTGCATTATAATTTTGGAAGTACCTCCGCCCAGTTGCACTCTTTCACCTGTCTTATTTTGTTAACACATACTGGGCGACCGTTAAGTGTTACCTAAAACTCAAGAATTGCACAGGTTAGGCAGCCACATACATACACACACACACACATACAAAAAAAAAAAAATGTTTTGACAAGTAGTTGTACGAATTAAAATGGTGGTAAATAACACCGATGATTAAACTGATTTCTTCGTAGAAAGAGAGGAAAATGAGGCAAATGGTGTATGGATTAGGCTTAGAACACAATATTTTAGGCGTACAGTATATCGTTAATAATAAAATATTTCTGACTTAAAAATCTGTAGCACAGAATATGTTGTATGCTATCGGGAGACGTTTGTGCCACTAAAATCTGACTTCATTTTGCATGTCATATATGCGTGAATCTATAGACGTTCTGATGTGATATCGCATTTTTCAGAGTCCAAGGAATTTAGTCAATCCATATAATGTGTTATTTTATTGAGTATCGCAAATGCTTTTTGTGTTCTTGAGAATCATTACAACACAACTTAAATTTGTAATACCAGAAAAAAGGGACAAAAAAAGAAAGAAAGAAAAAAGGAAAAGAAAGAATTAAATATTCTTTGTCCCATTTGTAGATTATCGAAATCTAGTGTTTGTGATACCGATATGTTCCATTACCGATATTACAAGTCGGAGTATGATAAGTTTTACTCCCTTCGGAGAATCGAAACTTACAAGGAAAAAAGAAGTTTTTTGTGAGTGTATACAAACGCAAAGCTGTACAAATCTTTAAAAACCATAACTAATTTCCACTTTGTGATAAATAGTTTATGAGCACATTTTCTGGACATTTCATAAGTCAAAATTTTTATTTGCTATCAATCCACATTATTTTTAAATATATACTGTATATACTGTATATAAGTATATTACGTGTTCTCAAAATTTATGAGAATAGCTTCAACTATATAAAAGTAAAAAAAAATCTCTACTAGGAAAGAAAAAAGCAAGTAGTCTTTTTAAAATACATAGTCAATGAAAAATATTCTTCCTTTGAAACTATTGACGCTGTCTCAACCCCATCTTTTTTTTTGAAGCGAATAGTTTTTGTGCAGGTTCAAATAACAATTCTCAACAAGAGTTCTGATTGAGATAATAGCGACTGGCCGTTGTCTTTTTTTGGCGAGGGAAGGAGCGGCAACAGGTTGCATAAACCTGTTGTTGACGGTTATTCACTTGGAATTTAGAAAAATAAAAAAAAACCCCCATAAATAATATGTACTGTATGCGTAGAACGGTAATATACAAGTCATACGAGTAATAATAGTTACAAAAATGTCGACCAAATTTGAATACTCATAATTTAACACTACTGCACTTACAATATATGTAATTTATAAATGGAATAAATGAATGAACCGTTATGGTTAGGTTGCTTTTAACCTTTGCTTAAATCGAATTTCTTTTGAAGAAGCGAGAAAGTGAAAAGGAAACGTAATCGTTATGGTATCGGTATTTATAAATGAACACTAATGTAGTACGCAAAACGGTTACAAGTAACTAATAAAATTGGCATTTCTTCAAAGAAATGCAGTATGTTTTGTTAAGGCTACTGCAGCATGTCAAAATCCAAGCTAGCATAACTAGATGTGTGAGGAACATAAACAAGAAACATCACTGTGGGAATCCCTTTCATAGATACTTTATCGAATAAAGATTAGGATAAACAATCATTTAAGTAGTTAGACTTCGTGATTTATCACCATTTCGGTATTTTTTTAGAATGGCAAGTAAGCAATAACGGTAGAATCTGTTATACTATACGTCAATATTTCTGAAATCATATATACAATCCCGTATTTGAGAAAAAAGATTTTCAATTTTTTTACATATAAATAGGGTAATAAACAGCCTTCTTCTTTTTTTTCATTTATTATTAAGATTCATAATGGACAAAAAACAAGTCCAAAGGACCATTAACTATACCCGATCTTTGCAAGATTCGCAACCGCCACCTGCTCCAGATATTCCTCTACTTATAAGGCGACAACAACCGAGTGTAGCCAATCTTGCTTTATCTCAAACCTCTATGCGAAGTCAGCAACAGGCGTCTGCTGCCCTCGCTCTACCTCCACACCTTCCACAGCAACAGCAGCCGGTTATCCCTGAACTTGAATGTTCTCAATATCAAGAACAAAAATATGATATCAATCAGGGAATTCGTTCGGAGCTGTTTGGACCTGCGCAAAAACTATTCGCTTCAAAAGGGATCCATCAAATAATTATTGATGGTGATACGGATCATCCATTCTGAAAACCAACCACTTCAAAAACAAATGTTATATGATTTTCTGCATTTTTGTATCGGTACTTCCTTCTGTAAATCTAGAAGGCATTTTTTTTTTTTTAAAAAAAAAAAAACAATAAAAAAAAACAACAAATTAAAAATTATTTTAGCATGTAACGCTTCGAATATGAACTTTTATAAAAAAATATAATATATTTTGCAAGATTGTACAAAGAATATTTGGTAACCAATGTATCACGTATTAGGTAATCTGTAATCTACGCCCATTTTCATGGAAACTGGAAGTCTCTAAATATTTGCGTTATATCTGCCATTCTCAACTGTATCTAAATATTTATACATAACGTCATGATGCGTTATTTTTGCGATTTTTTTAATATCTTTTAAATTTCTTAGCAGGTTTATGTTTCCTTCTGTCCCTTTTCATACCCAAAGATTGCGGCCGTTCAAGTTCGTGTGTGTAATTCTCGAATTTAGGCTCATCATCACCGAATATACTGTATATCGAGATACCCACCCACACTCTAGAAAATAATTGAGAAATAAAACAAGCTCAAATAATTTGTTCTTTATTATTATAAAAAGAATAACGAAGAGGTCGTTACAAGTACGTATAGTATCTTTATTTATTGTAACACAAAAGTAATCACCGGCGATCCAACCAGTTATGATTATTGCGTAAACTGGTTATAGCGTTTTCTACGTTCTCCCTTGTTTCCCCTAAATGGAAACATCTGGATTTTAATAAAAATATTTATGTAATTCGGTAAGATTCAAGTGATGTCCGCTAAAAAAAAAAATAATCGTATTACCGAATTATTATTATTTTGGAAATTGCATGAATAAGCGTCCTTAAAAAAATTTCCTGCGCGAAAAAAAAACTGTTTACAAAGTTTATATAACGGTTTGTTTTCCTCCTTTGGGATTTTTTCTAAAATCAGAACGATCTTTTAACAACGAAATTAAGAAGTGGAAAACTTAATACTTGACAAAGAAATAGGATGAAATAAATTCCCAACGATTTCCTGATTACATTCTTTTTATTCGTATCCGTAAAATTTATCATAATCTTAACCGCTAACAAGTATTTCCATTTCGGAGGCTTAACTAAGCATCATTCTCACGATATTACGAAATTCGTTTAATAATCATGGGCTGTCAGCAGCTAAAAGAATTAGATAATCTCGAACTTTTGCTTAATGGGTTAAACCAGGATAACATAAGTCCACCGGCGCTATGCGACCCGCTAGAAATTGCGAAACGATTTAATAACGGAATCAGATCCATGAATGCTTGGATTATAGTGTACATAAATGTACTTTGTGAGGCAGAAAAGCTGAATATATATAATGTTCGCGTAATTAAAAGGGTAACAGAGATAGTATGGAATAGGGCTAACTCTGAGGACAAGAGAAGGTGGCGTGACCTGGCAAGAGAAGTAGACAGTTATATACAGACAAATCAGATGTATTCACTGATGAAAATATCAACTAAGAAACGTATAGTTTAAGTAACATCAATTATCTATAAGATTTAATTAACTATTGTAATATTATCTTTCCGTGATTTTCATTTGTAATTATAAAATTTACTCTCAATTCATTTGTTCTTTAAGTTTTTTTTAAATTACCCTAGCTCTTAAGACATAAAATACATTATAATAAATATAAGTCATATTTATTCAGAATATTCAATTCCATTAAAATTTTAAATTTCTTTATTACATGCTAAAACAAGTCGTGAAATAGTGAAAAAAAAAAACTTTGGATCTTGCGTACATTTTATTTCGAAAAACCAGAAAAGATCGTTTATCAATTAGATTTAAAAGATAACGGTTTAAAAAAAGCAAATCCCGCAGAATAAAATACTGTATAAAATACTGTACCCAGCCCTAAAGTTGAATGGATTTGAAAATTAAAAATTATTGGGGTTCAATTGGTCAAGATAAGACAATTTAATCTATCCTTCTTTAAATGGTGTAAACGTATGGTCCCATAAACATGAAGTGCAGATTAAATTTTTAAAAAAAGAAAAGGCGCACAGAATTAGACCAAACTGTAATGTATCGGAAGGGGCCGGAACAGTCTGTACCGGAACATAATATTTGTTTGGTTATAGTAAGTGGAACTTGACCAGATCTATATAACATAAAATATACTGTATACTGTATATACAGTAACTCAAGATAGTCAACATACACAAGGTATGTAATCACGCATCAATTTAAGCGTTAATCTGACTATCACAAAATTTCCCTCCATACTGTACAGTACTTGTAATAGTCTCCTGCTTTTCTAACTCTTAAATAAACAAATATAGATATATATTTTTTAATAAGCACAAATTCAACATCGAAAAAATATTTCCACAATCAAGGTTCTACAATTTACACATCTTTAACATCAAGCCCAT